TTTTTAAATAGCCTGTCTTTGAGCTCACTGATTCTTTCTTCTGCTGGATCCATTATTCTGTGGAGAGCCTCTAATGAATTTTTTAGTTCAGCAAATGTATTTCTCAGTTCCAAGATTTCTGTTTGAGTTTTAAAAAATATTTCAATATCTTTATTAACTTTTTCTGATAAATTTCTGAATTGCTTGTTGTGTTATCTTAGAGATCACTGAATAGTTGTTTCCTTAAAACTATTTTGAATTCTTGGTCAGAGAGCTCACATATTGCCTACTGGTTAGGGTCAGGTACTGGTTCTTTGCTTTGTTTGGTGAGATCATGGTTCCGTGTTTGCTGCACGCATGCATGTGTTTATTTATTTATTTGACAGTGTCTTGCTCTATTGCGTAGGCTGGGGTGCAGGGGTGAGATCACAGCTCACTGCAGCCTTAATTTACCAGGCTCAAGTGGTCCTCCCATCTCAGCCTCGTTAGTAGCTGGGACTGCAGGCACGTGTCACCACACCCAGCTAATGTTTTTATTTTTGTTTTTTGTAGAGGCAAGTCTTGCTGTGCTGCCCAGCCTGGTTTTAAACTCCTAGGCACAAAGGATCCTCCTGCTTTGGCCTTCCAGTGTTGGGATTATAGGTGTGATCCACTGTGCCTGGCCTGCTGTTTCTCGTGGATGCGTGCACCTGTGTCTTTGCATTTATGGATTAGTTATTTATTGTAGTCTTTGGCTTATTTTGGTTTATATTGGGTGTCTTTATTTAGAGATTCTTCACTGCTAAGCCACTGCCCCTTTTTAGGCTCCAGGTGTTGGCCTTAAGTCCAGGTTCACCGTGGCTGTAGTAAACCGTCAAAGGGCTGCGCTTCCTAAAGTGAGGAGATCCCACAGGAGGTGTCTCAGCAGAGTGGGAATGCTGGCTAAGGGTTCATGTGCTGGAAACCTGTGGGACAAACCTCCTACAGGGTAGTGTTACAACTGAACAGCCTCTCTCTTGTGGCATGTCCTTTGGCTGAGTTATGGAGCAGTATTTTCAGGGATGCGGATAATAGTGCCTGCCCTCTTTGTTTCTCCCTGTCCTCAGAGATATTTCTTTAGGCACTTGTGATGCTTCTTATGGGTTAGGGCTGTTACAGATATCCTGCTAGAGAACCCAAGATGGTGGGGAAGCTAGCTGTTCACCATAATCTCACTTTTTCCAGTATAGAAACAATGTTTGGGGAAGTTTTCTATGCCCTAGGTGCTGGGCAGAATTGGGGGAGGGGTGTTGTGAATGTGGAAGTCTCTTTGTCTTTTTTCATTTCTGAAAATTGTCTTTTTTCATTCCTGTGGCCCCAGAACTGTCTTGTCTTCATATTTGAGTTCTGGGTTATTTCTGGTGATAATTTCAGCACTGTATATTTGTTTTGGATTTTCTTTTTATTTAAGAAAAATTCTTTTTTTTTTTTCCATATGGGGTCTTGCTGTGTTGCCCAAGCTGATCTCAAACTCCTGGGCTCAAGTGATCCTCTCTCCTTAGCCTCCTGATTAGGCGGCATTACAGGTGCGACATTGTATGCATCTATGTTTCATTTCCTTTGGAGGTGAGTGAAACACCACCTTTTTGGAGCCACAATTATTATTTTTTAAATAACAGCTTTTTTTAAATATAATTTACATACCATAAAGTTCACCCTTTCAAAGTGTCAATTTTGGTGACTTTAGTGTATTAACAATGTCTATTGCCACAATCTGATTATAGAACATTTTCCTCACCCCCAAGAGAAATCCCGTGTCTATTACCAATCACTGTCTATTTGCCACTACCCCTAGCCACTGGCAGCTGCTATCTTACAGCCACTTACATTGCTTGTTTGCTTATTTATACCAACTGCCTTACTGACTCTATGAATCTGTCTATTCTGGAAAGTGAAATAATAAAATATGTGGTCTTTTGTAAAGTTCATCCATGTTCTAGCTTTTATTAGTACTTTTTATGGCTTAATAATAATCCGTTGTAGGGATATATACTATATTTTGTTTAGCCATTCACAGTTGATAGACATTTGAGTTGTTTCCCTTTGTGGCCATTATGAATAATGCTGGTATGAGCATTGATGTACAAGTTTTTGTGTGGACATTTGTTTTCAGTTTTCTTGAATACAGTCATATCTTGTTTTCTTGCCGTTTCCTTTATTGCACTTCAAGTATTATGATTTTTACAAATTGAAGTTTTTTGGCAACCCTTTGTTGAGCAAATCTGTCAGTACTATTTTTTCCAGCTGCATGAGCTCACTTTGTGTCTCTGTCGCATTTTGGTAATTCTCAAACTATTTCACACTTTTATTATTATTATTTTTGAACAGAGTCTCGCTCTGTCACCCAGGCTGGAGTGCAGCAGCACGATCTTGGCTCAGTGCCACCTCTGCCTCCTGGTTTCAAACAAGCATGTCTGGCCAATTTTTGTATTTTAAGTGGAGACGGGATTTCACCATGTTGGCCAGGCTGGTCTTGAACTCCTGACCTCAAGTGATCTGCCTGCCTTGGCCTCCCAAAGTACTGGAATTACAGATGTGAGCCACCATGCCTGGCCTCTTTTAAAATTATTATTATACCTGTTATGGTGGTCAGTGATCTTTGTTACTATTGTAATGGTTGTGGAGTGCCAATGAACTGCGCTCCTGTAGGACAGTAAACTTAATAAATGTTTTGTGTATTGTGACTATACCACCAATTGGCTTTTCTCTCATATCTCTTTTCTGCTCAAAGCTCCCTATTCACTGAGACACAATGATATAGAAATTAGAATAGTTACAACCCTACAGTGTCTTTTAAGTGTTCAAGTGAAAGGAAGAGTTGCACATCTCTTCCTTTAAATCAAAAGCTAGAAATGATTAAGTTTAGTGAGGAGGGTGCGTCGAGATGGGCCAAAAGCTAGGCCTATTGTGCTAGTTAGCCGTTGTAAATGCAAAGGGCAAATTCCAAAGGAATTAGAGCAAATCTAAATTGTAAACATGTAAAACTCAACACAATATTTTGAGAAACAGTGACAATTAGTATTCTCAAAATTTAATATCAAGGAGAAAAATTAGTTTCTAAATTATGTGAAAGACAACTTCTCTTAAAATTAGCCTTTGGAATTTATTCTTGCTAATGGTCTTATGACAAGTCCTATGATCCCATCATGGATATTTATATAGGAGAGGAGATCATCATGTGGTTTTTTTGTTTGTTTGAGCCAGTTCTTTTCACTTTGTGATACTAGTGGAATCATACTTGATTATTCTTTCTTATTTTTAGGTAAAATTCCAGGCAAACATGTTAAGTAGGGAAGGCCCTGTTGGTGCTATGGAAATAGCAGGAAACCAAGAATCAAGAGATCAGGTTCTGAAGCCCACTCTGCCGTTAAGACGCTATCAACTTATTTGGGCCTTGATTTTCTTTTCCATATAGCACATTCATTTGTATGTTCTCTCAAGTGCCATTTTAAATATTTTTTTGATAGCATATACAGAATAATTTTGGTTTTGGTAGGAATTAAGATAAAGTATATATGAAGTTTTTTTTTTTTTTTTGAGATGGTGCTTCGCTTTTGTTGTCTAGGCTGGAGTGCAGTGGCGTGATCTCAGCTTGCTGCAACCTCCACCTCCTGGGTTCAAGCGATTCTCCTGCCTCAGCCTCCCAAGTAGCTGAGATCACAGACATGCATGACCACGCCCGGCTAATTTTGTATTTTTAGTAGAGACAGGGTTTCTCCGTGTTGATTAGGCTGGTCTTGAACTCCAGACCTCAGGTGATCTGCCTGCCTCCGCCTGCCAAAGTACTGGGATTACAGGCATGAGCCACTGCGCCCAGCCTGAAGTATAATTTTTAAATATATGTGCTTGTGCAGAAATGAGGAGCAAGTAGAGAGTTGATAAAAACTTTATGAACTCAGGTTGGAAAACAGTTTGTGTTAAATGTTTTATTATTGTAACGTGTTCCAGCCTATAATATGAATCCTAGGAGAACAACCATGTACCTGTAATGGAAGAAACTCTTGTGATCAAAGAAGGTGGTAGGGAAAAGGATACACACAAAAAGAGTTCTAGTTGGGATAGTTATGTTAACTGTTGTAAAATTGAAAAAGAGCTATGAAATGCCTGCCAACAAGTCTTGAACTGTGTATACTTTCTTTTGTTGTGGTTACTGTTTTTGTGAAATCAAATGTTTCATTTATTCCATTTATAAATTATTAGCTGCATTCTAGGCCCTTGTTTTAGAATTGAAGACTAGAGTAGAGAACAAGATGAACTTGAATCCTTCCTTTTTGGAATTTAACTTTTAATAATAGATATGGACAATAAACAAGACATTTAAAAATTGTGATATATGCCATGAAGAAAATAAACCGTAATGTGATAGAAAGTAATGGGAGAGATAGTGGTTGGGAACTGTGACCTGAATGTTGGAAAACAGCTAACTAGAAAAGACCAGGCAGATAAACACCTTGAGATGGAAAAAGGAACAGAAACAAGAGCCAACTGAGAGAAGGAAAGAATAGCCTGAGATGGGTTTATGGAAGGACCACCATTTAGGATATTGACCATGGTAAGGTGTTGAGATTTTATTCCAAGTGCAGTGAAAAACTATTGAGGGGTTTAAGCAGGGAAAATTACTTGGTGCAATAAACATTTTTCAAATATCACTCTTTGTGGAAATGCATTAGAGGGAGGCAAGAATGGAAGTTCACTATTAATAGTAGGAAAGGAGAGAAATATCGTGGTTTGGTTTAGACAAGGGTCATTCATTGGAGATGAAAAAAGTGGACAAAGTTGATGCATATTTTGCAGATAGGACTGACAGAATTTGCTAATAGGCTGTATATTGGGAGGTTAGGGAAATAGTTCCAAGTACAGATTTTTTTTGAAGAAAACATCTAAAATTGGTCTTTTAAAACATTTATTCTCCCTGCCTTAAAACATGATAGTTAATACTAGTATTCTACATGGTAAATGTTTCCTTGACACTTCTATCATTTTTATTTTATTTTGTTTTTTAGGCTTATGCATCTGGATGTGACATTGTAATACTGGGAAGCGATTTTGAAAGATTACAGATAATCCCAGGAGCTAAACATGGAAATATTCAAGTGGGATGTGTAGACTGTTCAATGCAACAAGGCAAGGTTTGTAATCTTGTAATATACAAATTTGTTTGGAATATGGTTTTTGTCAGGATAATCTCTGAAGTATGTATTTCCTATTGAATTAGAGACTTGGCTTTGTTTCAAAGATAGTGTAGCTAGAAAAATTTTTGGCTCTCTAAGATGCATTCCAAGAGTGCCAGAAATTCTATTCTTAAATAATTTTAAATTATAGCATCATCTTCTCTGAGAAAGAAATATAGTACTTACTGATATAGAATGAGTCTAAAGCTTACGTATTTAAAAGGTGATTGGATTGGGGGAAAGGAGTAACAATAAATCTTCAACATTTACAAATAAACTAAAGGAAATGATTTAGAGTTTGTTTGTTTGTTTGTTTGTAAACAGGTAGTTATCTCCTTGTAACTTCTGTGTAACAAGGGTTGTGTAACTTTGTGGAAATGAAAAACTCTTCTAGAGTTTATAATATTCTAAGCCCATAAGAAAAGTGAAAAACTTTATCTGGACTTCTATTTGCATATGAAAAGTAAAAAGGTAGCCTTGAAAGTAAAATAGTAACAACAAAAACAGAGGAAACAAAGTATAAAATTCTTCTAGATCAGGTTAAATACAGTTCCTATAGTACCAGAATGAGAAAGTCATACTAGTAGGCAAGGCAGCATAATATATAGCTTAAAATAACTCCATGTAGGCATAGATGGTAAGGCCTATGTATAGTTGTAGCAAGACTGGACTGAACTTTGCAAATATACTCATATGGTTCCACTAGAACATTTTGTGTAAGGAATCAAAATCGTCATATAAGAGTCCATGAACCCAATCATTTGTTTTTAAATCTAATCTTCATTTGAGGTAAACCTTCTAGTATTAAAAGTTGCTTCCTGGGACCTAAAGATACTAATTATAAAAGGAGTTTCTGTTTTCTCAATCTTTACCTATTTGTTGAACTACTATTCTTTTTGTTACATGGTATTCCTTCCCTTTAATATAGTTACAAGTATCCCCTATCTTTTGTTGAGGCCTCTGATGACTTCTTGCTATACAACAAAAATGCTCTTTATTATGGAATGCTGAAAATCCTTTATTTTTTTATTTTTTTTTTCTTTGAGATGGAGTCTCACTCTGTTGCCCAGGCTGGAGTGCAGTGGCGCAATCTTGGCTCACTGCTGCCTCTGCCTCCCGGGTTCAGGTAATTCTCCTACCTCAGCCTCACGAATAGCTGGGATTATAGGTGCCTGTCATCATACCCAGCTAATTTTTGTATTTTTAGTAGAAATGGGGTTTCACCATGTTGGTCAGTCTGGTCTCAATCTCCTGACCTCGTGATCTGCCCTCATTGGCCTCCCAAAGTGCTAGGATTATGTGAACCACGGCGCCCAGCCTATCCTTGAGATTTTTATTTTCATTCTCTTCATGTTTGTTTGGTCTCCTAGCTCTTCTGTTCTGTAATCTTTCTTAACTGTATAAAAACTTGCTTAATACTATCTAGACTCACATGGAGTTGGTTAATGTTAAAAATCTAATTTAATACTTTCCAATATGGGCTATCTTTTTGTAATAGACTATATGACATCCAGGTTAGAATGAAGAAATCATGGCCAGGTGTGGTGGCTCTTGCCCGTAATCCCAGAGCTTTAGAAGAGTCAAGGTGGGCAGATCGCTTGAGACCAGGAGTTTGAGACCAGCCTGGGGCAACCCTGTCTCTATAAAAATAAAAATAAAAAGTAAATAACCGGACGTGGTGGTATGCTTCTGTAGTCCTAGCTACCCGGGAAGCTGAAGTGGGAGAATCACTTGAGCCCAGGAGTTCCAGGCTGCAGTGAGCTCTGATTGCACCATGCACTGCAGCCTGAGTGACAAAGCAAGACCCCATCTCTAGAAAAACAAAAAGAAGAATTAAGAAGTCATTTGGTTTTATAATCATTCTAATGAAGAAATATTTTCTTCATTTACAGATATCGGTATTATCAGAGTGGTTCCTTAAAGTATCAGGAAGAAAATTGGCAGGTTCTGGTACCCGGGGACTTTTGACTGTTTGCATTTAAGAAGGAAATGTTCTTTGGGAAGCCAAGGCAGGTGGATCATGAGGTCAGGAGTTCAAGACTATTATGGCCAAAATAGAGAAACCCCGTCTCTACTTAAAAATACCAAAAAAAAAAAAAAAAAAAATTAGCTGGGCATGGTGGCAGGCGCCTGTAATCCCAGCTACTCAGGGGACTGAGGCAGGAGAATCGCTTGAACTCGGGAGGCAGAGGCTGCAGTGCGCCAAGATCCCGCCATTGCACTTCAGCCTGGGTGACAGCGTGAGAAAAAACAAAGGAAATGTTAACATCATAGGCACCTGTATTTTTATTACTGCTGTTTTTTTCTTCGTACTGTACTACCACCTAATTCATTTTTCTGAGAAAATTAATCCTCATTTATCCTGTTATTCATCAGCTTCAAAATATTCTTAGCCCATTACCTTGGAAAAGTTCAAATTGTTCACCTTGGTGTGAGGCATTTTACAACCTGGTTCAGACCTGCCTTTTTAGTCTCAGGTACTCTATTCTGTTAGAAGGAGCACTCTCTTCTTGGTGGGATGGTGGTCATTCACCTCTAAACATATATTACCTCTTTTAATGTTTACACCTGTGTTCATACTATGCCCTATTTATAAAGTTGAATACTTGCTGCTTTTTGAAATCCCACCCATAATTAAAGGCCCAAATTAACACTTCCTTCAGATCAGTGCAGCACAAGTGAGATCTATATCCTAAGAACTCAGAACGCTTAAAATATCCATTCACAGTTTTTTTCTCCATATGTATGTTGTGTCCTCATACCTTCCTCTTTACTAGATCATATGTTCTTTTTTCTATCCATGATCCATTCATTTAATCTCTCTCTGTCTGTGTGTCTCTCTCTGTTTGATTTCTGATATTTTGATATTCTTCATATGAGACTCACTCAAGTTTTAGTAGTAGTGACCTTATAAAACAGAGCCAGGAAAGGTTATGATCCATCAATTTAAAGAGTAAATTCAAAGGATAAATAAAGTAAAATATGTTTTAAAATGTACTCAGGAGTTTCCAGAGGAATAGACCTAAGTTATATTTTTGAAACGTTAATATACACTGACAGAATTATGAATTTTGAGGATGGATGACAACAATTAACATTTACTGTGCATATTGTATGTCACTTATTATATGCTAGGTGTTTTACAAGTGTTATTTCAACCCTCAAAATAATGCTGTTAGGAAGATAGTGTTGTGCATATTATGAACACTGATATGGAAACTAATGTTTGGAGAGATTAAGTTGCTAGTTAAGTAGCAAGTAGCAGTTTAGGATTCTAATGCAGATGTGATAGTCTTCAAAACTGACATTCTTAAGCATCAGTGAGTGAAATTGTGTGTATTGGCATAAAGTTACAGTATTCATTTCTTTGCTTTTTTTGATTCATAAGTAAGTTAACATATCCCTGATAAGTTCTTTTTTTCTTTTTAAAAGATTGCAGCATCTTATGGAAACGTTATCTCCATTTTTGAACCAGTTAACCTACCGAAAGAAAAGAAAAATTTGGTCAGTAATTTATGATTTTTTCTTTTAGGAATTGAAATGTGTTAAGTATTAAAAGAGCATAAAATCAGAGTGATCATCGAGTACATCGGTATAACTTATATACTATAATTGAACCTACATGTTAAATTCCATTTTGATATTAAAAATATATTTAAATTTTTCATTGGAATAGTTAAAATAAATTGTGCAGATGAATTGTTAAAATGCTTTATTATTTTATTTCTGAAATTTTAAATTTTATAATATTTCAAGAGTCAGTAACCTAAAGTTTGGCACTTACTTTATTGCTAGTATCAAATACCCTCGTCCAGCCATATGTAGTACTTTTTCTTTGTTTTATAATCTACCTTTATACAGGTTTTTTGCCTCTTCAGGGCTTAACTTTCTTGCATTATTTAGATCATGTAATACAATCGTTAATAGGTCAGTGAATGTTTTTCTTTATAAGGAAGCTGTACTCAGAAATAGTTCTGAAAACTGGTTACCCAATAGTTTATAAATATTTGGATCATGTTAGTAGATTTTATAGGTTCTTTAATGCTCATGCCTGTAATCTTCTGTACTTAAGAGGCTGAGGCAGGAAGATTGCATAAGGCCAAGAGTTTGAAACCAGCCTGGGCAACATTTTTAAAACAGTTTAGCCAGGCATGGTGGCGCATGCCTGTAGTCTCAGCTGCTCAGGAGGCTGAGACAGGAGGATCATTTGAGCCCAAAAATTTGAGGTTGTGGTGAGCAATGATTGCAGCACTGCATTCCAGCCAGGGTAACACAGAGAGACCCTGTCTCTAAAAATAAAAATAAAAACAAACCATCTGAAAGAAGATAAGTATAGTGTCATTGAAAGAGCAGTGTTTTGGGGGTCATAGGACTGATTTCTATTTCTGAGTCTGTCTAGCTAGTTGGTCTTAGGTAAGTCAGCCTTATGAAATTCTTTGCTCAACTCTCAAACTGATTAATATCTATTCAGTCTTGATAGGAATATTATTAGGCTAACATGTCAAAGACCATTTAGAAATACATTAATTATAAAGGACTAAACTGTTTTAATAGCAGACATACCTTTATATATCTTTTGATAGTTTTTGTATCATCTTCACTTAGCTCATTAGTATTTTGCAAATTACTTCAAACCTAGTTTGTACAGCTATTATTTCTTCTTTTTACAAATAAGGCAGTAGAGTAGGCTCAAAGAATATAGTGACTTGACCAGTGAAACAGCTGTTAAGCCACAGAACTAAGAGTAAAACCATCTGTATTGATTCCTAGGTGTGAGCGTCCTTTTCTTACCTTGTGTTGATGAAAACTATTTTCTGAGTTAATTGATATTTATCTTTAAATTTCACAGTAGTGTTCACACTTCTGATTTCTATTTGTTTTTACAGATTGCCTAGTGAATCCAATATTTGAGCCTCTTTAAGGCTTAAGAATTAGTAATTGGCAGTACTAAAAAGAAATTTTTTAGGTGATTACCCCACCCAGCCCAATTGAACAGTGTATTTCAATACTCAATAAATATTTATTAAATAAAATAAGTGGCTTTTGAAAATCACTATGTTATGTTAAAATGCCTTTATTGGGAAAGATAAAATAGAGAATTTCAGTGTTTGCCCATTTTCTCCTTTTCTAATTATGAATATAATGTATAAAACTCAAAAAGAGGCTGGTTTGTTGGCTTATCAGCACTGACTTTGCAGAAGGGATAATAAAAACTTGAAGAAGGGCTAAAGTGGATCAAATGGTAAAGTTACAGACTTGAAAGATGTATAAAATATATGATTCTAGAATATAGTCTCAGAATCTTCAGATCATTGTAAAAATATTTCCTTTTCTTTGTATATTACAGAGTATTCTTTTAAGATGGTGGTCTTCATGAGAATTGCACATCACAACTACTGTTGGGTATATGTGCCCAGATCCTGCCCTGGGAATTTCTAAATCTGTAGCTGTAGGATTGTGTCAGTGCACTTATATGTCTTGTTCTAGAGAGGGTTCTGGTATGTACTGTGATTGAAAGACGTTCCTGCAAGACAGTGTTTCATGAAAGCATATTCTGTAGGTCACCTATGTCAAAATCACCTGGGGTGTTAAAGTACAGGTTTCTGTGCCCCATCCTGAAACTTTTGAACCTGAATTTTTGGGCACAGGTCTTGGAAATTTGAATTTTTAGTAACATCTCAGGCTATTCTTTGTTGTACCAAAGTTTGAGAGCCACCACATTAAGAGAGTATGAGTCTCAATCTGTAATTGGGCTGTGAACTTAGCTTAGTGTAGGCCACAACCTGAATTTAAAAAGAGAATGAAAGTATCAGAGTATGTCACATGTAATAAGGATAAACATAGGTTGTATTTATTTGTATGTGTATGTGTTCTGGGTCACAATACATTGTATATTTCTTACTGATTTGCAGGCAGAAAAAAGGGGAAAATTTTGCTTTAAGAAGTTGTAAGGCGATAAATTATATAGTAGTATCAAAACGTTACGTCTTTTATTCTGAATATTCCCACATACCATTATGATCTCAGATGGGGATAAAACAGTAAAGGAGAAGAAAACATCAAATAGTAAAGCCACAGACACATTTAAAATTAAATTTTTAACTGTAACTGTAGTAATAATAAATTAATAATTAAATCTGAGGTTAATAAGACTGTTATCCAAGGTAGCATATGGTTATTGGCTGTTTATACTAAAGATAGAATTTTGACCACCAGTAATGGATATTCTCTCACATGTCTTCTTTATCATATATTCTCTATTTTTGTTGACTGAATTGAACATTTTGTTATCTTTAAAATTGTGTTATTGTAAGAATAGCAAGCGTAAACGTACACATTTGACAGAGAAAAGATGCCAGTCATAATGGGCTAAATGACTCTTTTCTTAATTTTAGGAATTATATAGTCAGTGGCAGAAAAGTGGCCAATTTTTTCTGGAATCAATAGCACACAATATAACTTGGGATCCCACAGGTAAGAAAATAAGCAGGATTAACTAAAATGAAATATCATTTGCCTAGTTGTTCTTATTTTTATTACTCTCATGTATTTTACTTCTGCTGTGTGTAAGATTGTGGGGAATACCAAAGAGGTAAAATGGATTACCCTTTTAGAGTTTATACTGAAATGAAGACAGATATGCACTGTAAGAAATGAGAGAATGTTCTAAGTGCCATAATAGGATACCCATTGTTTTTGGAAAGAGATATTTCTCTGGAGAATTAAGATTTTATTGAAAAGGGGTCTTTGGACCTGAGAGTAAACAGACTTTAGCAATGAAGCTTGAGTAGATGGAACAGGAAAAAAGTGAAGTTTAAGAAAATATATGCCGGGCGTGGTGGCTCACCACTTTCCCAGCACTTTGGGAGGCTGAGGTGGGCAGATCACCTGAGGTCGGGAGTTCGAGACCAGCCTGACCAACATGGAGAAACCCCATCTCTACTAAAAATACAAAAAATCAGCCAGGCATAGTGGCGCATGCCTGTAATCCCAGCTACTTGGGAGGCTGAGGTTGGAGAATTGTTTGAGCCCGGTAGGTGGAAGTTGCAGTGAGCTGAGATCATGCTATTGCACTCCAGCCTTGGCAACAAGAGTGAAAATCCATCTCAAAAAAAAAAAAAAAGAAAGAAAATATAATGAATATTTGTATCAATTATCTATTTCTGCATTAGAAAAGCATCCTCCAAAATGATGGATGGCTTAAAACATCCATCATTTTGTTGCTTATAATTCTATTGGTCAGGAAGGCTCTGTGGGAATGGCTTGTCTATTGTTCCATGTGGTAGTGACTGAAGCAGTTTATCTGCAGCTAAAAGATCCAAGAAAGGCTTTGTTCACATATCTGGGCCTTGCTGCTTACCATCTACTGCAGTGCCTTTGTTCTCCTCCACATGGCCTCTTCTATGGCTCTCTCTAGCAGGGCAGCCTGGATTTTACATGGTGGCTGCATTCTGAGAGTGAAAGTGGAAGCTACAAGGAAGTCCCAGAATGTTATTCCTGCCACATTATATGGTCACAAGTCCAGCTAATATTAAGGGATGGGAGACATAGACTCCACCTCTCGATGAAAGATATGGCAAAGTCATATTACATGGGGGCATCAACATAGGGAGACATAATTTATTGGGAGCCATATTTACCATTCTACAAAAGTGACCGAAGGCACAGAGAAAGAAAGCATAAGATACATTATAATAAGGATTAGTACTTCACTGGGCTGAGTCTCAATGGTGGTAAGGAGATAAGACCTTACCGTGTTATAGGAGACCTTTAAAGTCATGCTAAAAAATTTGAATTTAATTATTTATGGTTGTCTAAAAACTATAGATTTTCAAAAGAGGCTAGTAATGTAAGATTTATGGTTTTGCGAGATTGGTCTGCCAGCAGTGAGTTAGAAAGGTCAGTGGCAAATGGAACAGGAGAAGGAGTGACCTTTGGAGAGGTTGTAGTCTCATTAGTCTGGATGAGAAATAAGAACTTATTTCAATGCCTTTTCCATAGTAGGTGCTGAATTAATATTAAATGAATTAATGAATAGTGAAAGGTATACATGGATGTGAAATGTGTTTAGGCAGTAGAATTGACATTACTTGACAACTGGATTTGAAATACTTTGAGAGTATCTATGACCACACAAAGAGTAATATGTAGGAGTTAGAGGTAGTGGAACATAAGGTGTTAATTGGATATGTGGACCTTGAGAAGCTTGTATATCATAAAGCAATGTATAGACATTTGAATCTAGAACATAGAAAGTTATCTTTAGGGCTGGGCACGGTGGCTTACACCTGTAATATCAGCTCTTTAGGAGGCTGAGTGGGGAGAATTGCTTGAGCCCAGGAGTTTGAGACCAGCCTGGGCA